CCCAGGAAGTGCTATATTTACAGGGATAAATCAATGTCATACAGGTTTTATGAAGAATGGGTCACCTGACTTCAGTGATACAATAGGAAAAACACGATTTTGAAAAATTTCCCACAAATCTCCCACATTGAGAATGCCTGGAGCTTAAACTCAAATGGAAACAGGGTAAGTGGTAGGAGATGGGGGTGAAAATGAAGAGAAGAGGTCATTGTTGAAACCCTGACCATATAAAATTTTGAGGCACAGGCAAAGTTTGTTAACTTTTGAGCATGTCTAGATCCCCAAAAGTCCAGCAAAACTGATGTAATAAACAGAATCAGCTCTACGGCCAAGTATGTGTATATACAAGAAATTTGACTCTGGTAAATTTTGCCCTCTATGACCAAACATTAAACATTAAATGTTACAAAAATTGTTACAAAAATCAATCAAGTATGTACAGATAAGATAAACCTGATGATAATAATAATGATCTTAATAAGCTCTCACATAATGATAACCTTAGAACTGTTTTTGCACAGTTTACACCTGCAGACTTTCTTATGTAGATTAAACAGACAGTCAAAAATGTTGCTTTGCCTAAAAACTACTGCTGATAGGAAAATTTCAGTTTCCTTAAAGCAGCCTCAAAATGAAGAACACTTTTGCACAGTTTTAAATAACACAGCTGTAAACAGCACAACTGAATCAAACTTACCAGACATATTTTGACGTGATCCAGTGACAAGTGTCTGAGACAATTTTGAAAAAAAAGAAGGAAGGGAAGAAGGAAATGAAATGGAACAGTGGCAAAAATAAGTGTAGTTCATATTGTCTGCTGTGCAGTGGATGAGTCAAGATTGTGTCTGGAGATGTCTGGTTTGCTGGGTAATCCCCAAAGATGTTTTGTTGGATGACAATAGGACATGAGGTCTTTAAGTTGACCAGCAGATTTTAAACAATTTGTTGGAAAAATATTAAGTGAAAAGACAGAAAGATATATCTCCGTTTCTTTGAAGTTGTTGGTGATTTGTCCAATATGGAGCAGATGCTGATTTGTAAGCATCAAACTTTCTGATAGAAACATGGAAATTTCTGACAAAAAAGAACAAATAAAGTGTAGGAAAATAAAAGTGCTTGGAGGTGCAAAAAGCAGTTTCTTTTTCTTTAAGCAGGTTCTTCACAGAAGTTTGGCAAAACTGCAAAACCACAAACTGCTCTCGCTCTCCATTCGTCACTCAGGAAACTGCTGGAAAGAGCAGGGTGATAATGCTAAGACTTTCTGGTAGATCAAAATTTTCAGAATTGAAATATGTACCTGATTCTGAACTCAAACAGAGCAACAGGAGTTAAAGGCTTCATTTGTTTTGAAGTATTTTTGGGTATTTTTACACTCAAGAAGCACACTCACCTACAAGAAAAAGTACAGAAAAGAAAACATTTGACGACTTTTTCTTGGACAAATTAGCATGCTTTGCATACTTGGCCTGTGTGTTTAAACTGATGTGATTTTTTCAGGTGCCATTATCAAGGCTTATTGTTCTTGGCAGGAACATTTCCCTCTTCAGGGCTTTAAGTGCCAAATGGGCCAGTACCATGTGTGTCTGAGTACTAAGTGACATCTCTGGCGGCCTTCCTACACACATAGAGGAATTAAGCTGAAAGTCTAAACCTTAAGGGGGATGGGGGGGGGGGGGGGGGGGGGGGACCTCTGAACTTTGTTAACAAAAGTTGTCCAGGACCCTCCTGTTTTGTGAAATCTGTCTGCTTCTCCATTCAGTTCTGCTTTATTAAACCAAAATTTCCCTCCTGGAATTTGTCATCTATGTTAAGAGCGGCTGTGACACACTGTTCCCACCTCAACCTCCCCTCAGATGCAAACCATAAATCATAGCAGAGCCATATTAGAATCTAAAAAAAGGAATAGAGGGGGGTATTTTGGTGAGCCTCTAATAACTCAGCTGCTTGTTCTAGGTGGAACAGTTGAGAGGGTATCATGTCAAACCCGGTTGAGCTCAGATGAAATACTGAAATGAAATCATAGGAATGTAGGGTTTTTATTACTTACAGTGGCTACAGAAAGTATTCAGTTCCCCTTAAATTTTACAACCTTTTTTAATTTGTAGGCACTTGTTAAAATCATTTAAGTTGACTTTTTTCCTCAATTATGTACACAGCAGTTGCTTTTAAATATAATTTTTTGTTATAATAACGATCTGATAACACCCCCAAAATGTTAATTATATGATATAATATTGCAGCTATGTTGAACTTTGGCATTGTTATTCTAAACATAATAAACAGGAAGTGTTTGATCAAAAGTCTTCAATTTACTTTTTTGTGGAAAAAAATGACATCTTCAATTTGTGATGTTATATTACGGATAAACTGTTTCTGGGACATTAATGAGCAGTACAGGGGCCCAAAAAATAATATAGATAAAATGGCTCATACAACATTGATGGACTAAAGGGCCAAAGGTGGTGGACGGCTCCTCTCACTTCACTGCAGGACAGACAGATTTAGAAGATCTTTTGTACTAACAGCCATCAGACTATTTAATTCTTCTGTAAATAGCAGATGTCATGAGGCATGAGACTCTAGACAAATTAATTTCTCTTCGGGGATAATTAAAGTTCTTGTAATACCAAGTACCTTAAAAATGACTTAACACTTACAAAACAGGGGTGCATCCAAACAGACAGCCAGGGTTGGTATAAGCCCCTTTGAAATCTGATTGGCCACCCCTGGAGTTACCCCAAAGTCTGTAACCATGGTTGACTATTTGTCAGCTAGTACTGTAGGTACTCATCGTACCAACGAATGGACACTGTGTGCAACCAATAAAAGCCAAAATATGTGCCACTGACCCTCACTGGTCAGCTGTTTTAATTAAAAGTGTCTTCAATAAAGCCAGCAGTCCTGAGATTTACTAACTTAAAAATATACCATCTTTTTTTTCTTTTAAAAGTATGATTATCACCTAATGAGGGAAGAAAGTGTGAAACAGCTGCATAGTGAGATTGGTCCACCTAAATATGTGCAGTGAAGCAGTGGCTTGTTTTTTTTTCAGTGCCATCTTCTGGGTAAAGTATTGTAACACAGCCTATATTTAATTGGTCGCACTGGTGTTTAGCACACCACTTTTACCAAATTCCATGGTGCTTCACAAATCTTTTTCAATCGATAGTTAAGCAATCACTGCATCAACACTTAAAAACTCCAGCACACTTCCTTGCTGTCTTTACTGGCAATGTTACTCTGCACTTTGCCAAAGAATACCTTTTTTGACAATGCAAATTTGCTCTTCGAATTTTTACTACAGATCTTTTTTTTTTTTTTACAGGTGTTTACTTTTTGACTAAGAAATTATTTTTGGAGACAAGATTTGTGAATTATTGATTTGCCTTTATGTGTGTTTGTGCACATAAAAAGTATGCCACCCCTGCATGAGACATTTTGACTGGGGTGGCCTCAGCTGGGCCACCCTAGTCAAAATGTCTGGGCACACCCATGTCCTAAAAATAAACCCTCTTCACCATAAATTCCCAACCTGTGACTAAAAATCTACTTAAAGATCACAAGAAAAATATAAGGGGTCTAAAGATGGTTGCAGTGTGCTGTTTACTCAAGACAGAATATTTATTTTTCTTTTTTCAGAGATTCATCAGTTGAAATGTTAAAGGCAAGAAACATAATTACAATGAAATACAAACTGAACAAAATTTCTTGCACTCACATTGTAGGGGAGAGTGGGGTAAGTTGAGCCAAAGGGTAAGTTGAGCTAACCTGTTGCTTAGAAATGGTAAAAGAAATTGATCATGTGACCAATTATTTATATCCATCAATTCATGGAGTCTGTGAAGGTTAGAAGCACATGGGTGAAGGGGTTAGACATTTATTTACAAAAAAAACTTTTTTCAGTCTTGAAAGTGAATTTAGTCTGTCATAAGTTTTATATGAATTGTGTTCAGACCAAAAAAGATCATTTTAAAATTGTTTTATACATCAATTGCGGTATCTATGAGCTACAACATGAGGTCAAAAACCTAGCATAAAAGTCCACCATTTTAGCTTAGAGGACTAATAAAGTCATAATAGTAGTTCTGGGGTAAGTTGAGCCAGTGGCTCAACTGAGAAAGTAAAGAAGTCTGAAGAGAGGATCAGAGTTTCAGTTCAGATTGTTGAAATGTGTTACTTTTTCTTTTCAAAAATACAGCTGTGAATGTTCTGAATCACTTAAAGACATTCTCATGTTAAAATAGCTTTTTACAAAACAGCTTTTTAGCAGTTATATGCAATAATAATAAAAACAATTATTGTACTAGTTGAATAGTGTATAATAGATAAAAATGCACATGAACGTGAAGAAGTGACTGTTATTTAGGGAGAGAGAAGGTGAGGGAGGGCTGGGGTGGAGAGTGGGGGTAGTAGGGATACAGCTCAATTTACCTCGCTCCTATGGTCAACTTACCCCATACACGGGGTTAGTTGACCATAGGAGACCACTTTTTTTTGGCATGCTATATTATCAAGACAGTTATGCTTACACTCATTCTGTTGGGTTGCAGGGATGCACAACCTCTTGAAATATATGCAAATACACTAGTTAGAGACAAAACTATGATTGCCTTGATGTAGTGATCCGAAATATGAAAAATGGCTCTTCGTACCCAACTCTCCCCTTACTTGGCCCTGACCCCATTAAATATCTGCTGTAATGAAAGTTTGAAATCACGAGCTTATTTTCATGCCCTCACATTGTGTCAGATAAAAATACACTTTCAACTCAGACTAGTGTATGATTATAGCCTTTACTATATTAAGTTTTAATGCCTGCAGGCGTGTGTTGACTATCTCTCTATCTGTCCCGTCAGCTGAAACTTTCCTCTTCTCCACTCTGTGTGTGTTTATTGGTTGCTAGGGGTGGAGCCAACAAACCTTTCTGTGTGCAGCCCTGCTCTTGTATTATTTTCATCCACGCTTACGTACGAAGAGTACTTCCGCATTCCTGAGCTTTCACAGGCAAGAGCAGTACTTAAACGGGCTGATGCAACGACCTCAACTAGTCCCAAAAGCTACATCCGATTCACAAGTCCCGCACTGACACATTACTCTCACTGCTGCGGATTTTTTTGGCGCACTGTAGGTAAGCCAGATAATTAGCTATCAAGCTAACTTTACCCTGTCATTGATTTCCTCTATCTTTCTTTTTGTTCTGTGAGAAAATGTTGCTTTGAGTTTTTACTATTTTCTAGTTTTTTGCGTTCTTGCTTCTGCACGTTGTTAGTAAAATTTGGAGCGACGCCTTTGTAACAAATTCTTTCACATATGAGAATGCGTTTGTATCAGTAAGTTTCTCTAAAAAGTCCGAGGTTACGAAGTTATAAAGTTTTACGCTGCTCCCTCCACAGCAGTCAATCAGCGTCACTTGCTGTTACAACAACCGTTACGTACGTCACTTTGTTGTTACAACTGTTGTAGCAACTGTCGTCTCATAGCTCGTTATTTACAGACAACATTTGCTAAATAACACTCCAGCCTATGTAGCACTTACGGTATTTTCATCACAAGATCTGTAATTTCAGTATTGCTGAACAGGAGAAGTGTCAGTTAGCGTAGTGAATGCAGTTATGTAACACAATCCCAACCACACGCTGTGGGTTTTCAGAGGCGGGTATCTGGAAGCAGGGCAAACACCAAACTTCATTAAGTTTGCAAAGACATTTACTTTAACTGCTGAAAAAACGCAATAATATAACTTTGTCGCGGTAGTACTGTCATATTATTGGTTCAGAACGTTGCCAAGTTACATTCGGCCTGCTTTTCTTTTTGTTACTGACTGTCACTGTTGTTATTTTGAAGTCAGACACATTGCATGTGGCTGCAGAATAGATAGTGGAGTGGGACAACCAGATTTACAAAATTGGTATGGGTGACACTGTTACTCTGCTCGTATGAATTAACAGGCTAATCAATAATTGGGGATATAAATAATATAATCTGTTTATCTCGGTTAGAATTTGTGAGCATTCCAGGAATTACCACACTTTTCGAGAGCGCAAAGTGTTTTGATGGATAAACTTCAAACATAGAAGTAATTTACATTAAAAGAAAAAATGAAGAGCCAAAAAAAGTTTTGCCCCCCAAAAAAGAGATATTTAAAAACCTGTTTTGGATAAATCTGTCAATCAGACATATGAGACTTTATAACTATGATTAGTAATATGTATATTGTTCCATCTCCACAGTGTCCCAACACAGCTGCGTCATTGAAAGAGGACGATTGGCAGGTTTTCTCTGAGTAAGTATTCTGCATTTAAATCAGTCCTGGGTTGAATTAATCAAGACTCTCTTTAGTTTCACCTTCAGCTGCACTGGAAAGACTTTACTTGGCATCAGGAGTTTACTTTGATATATAAGTGATGTAAATGGAGTGTGAAGTATCTTTGACAGCTTGTAAGTACAGCCAGGGACATGTGCTGAGATTAGCCGCATCCGTAGTCTTTGTTTTGGCTTGTCATTGTGCACACTGTCTGTATGTTCAAGTGAGACTTTCTGCTCTGGGCAAGAGGGACTCTTTACATGTGTGTTTCACCTTTTCAAATAGAGCCACTTCAAAGTTTACCACCACCTATCACCAGTCACCAGAGCAGTCACATGGTGTCACTGTGTTGTGATTAGTTGGTAAGCATTATCCCCCTGTCCAAATCAGGATCGGTGAAAAGATTTACACTTTCCTGTATGACAGGAATAGTAACCTGAGCTTTAGTTATCTACCCCCGCTGACTTGAAAGTTAAAGGCCAGTAGAAGTAATGGCAAATATGATGGATAGGGTTGGCTTATGTGCATGTGTTTGTTGGTGAGTTGCAAGTTCATGGGTTCAATGTTTTCCAAGTGCATGCTCCTCAGCTGCTGCAGTGCTTGCTTGTACAGCAACATGCCACGCAGGGGAAACTATTCTTGCTCTGTATATATAAGTATTTCTTTTGTGTCTTTATCTGTGTTTGCGTGTGTCTAAGTGATCCAGTGTGTAGTACACAGGGTTGAAATGCCCCAACGCCTGCCAGGGCACATTGGTAGGATGGTTCCTGCATAAATGGAATGCTGCAGTGGATTAATGGGGAAAGGCTGGCGAGCCGGCAAGCAGCGCAGGGCCGACAAGGCTGAGAGGCTGGACGTGGGCGCACAGGGTTTATTTTAAGTAGAAATGCCTTCCAGTGCGTCTCTGGAGAGCTGGAATTGCCAAGCTGCACCCCAGCACACTCAATAGACAGCAGACGCATTGCAGGCAAGCCAGCCAACTATGCAACAGCCAGGCTCAGTGATACTAATACTAATGCAGGGGGAGCAGCTATTCACTGCTGCATGTATCACATTATCAGTCTCACATTGTAGTCCCTATAAACCTTTCCTCATGGCCTGTAAAAACAGTATCAGGACAGGCTGGATGTGGAAGCAAACGCCCAACTGTCCAAAGGTGTAACTGAGAGAAGAACTATTAAAGCCTGTAGGTTTTTCTTTTTCAGAAAGGACCCAGTCAAAGCTCCTCAAAAAGAGCTGGTTACACACTTATGGTTTCCAGATTTCCTGCATTTCTTTTGGAATGAAGGAGAGGTTTTAATATTTGCATAGAAAACAGCCCTGTAACTGATGTGGACTAAAACATTGACCCCCTTCTTGCAGCACTTCAGAGCAACAAAGAATCGAATGTAAAATTTGGTGGAGCAAACACTGGTGCTGTTGAATCAGAGCAAGCATGTGCTTGACGTGGAGTGGATGAGGAAATATCTGAGGACAAAGTGTGAGGGAGCGTTAAAGTGACAACCACACATTACACAATAACAGTGTTGCCTCAACAGACAGCTTTAAATCTGATTTTCTGGACTGTGTTGGCCAATATCTTATATTCAGGGATTGCATTTAACACGTCTTGCATTTGTCATGAACCCCATACGTCTGAAATGGCTTTTGTCTGCATTTTTTATTTTGATTCCTTTAATCCACGTCTGAGCCAAGCCAAACTTGCTGCCATGCAAAGTCTAATCCTGACTTACAATGTGGAGAAAAGCAGTTACAGTGTAATAAGTCAAGCAGGACCACCCAGGTGTAGAGTACAGATGTGTGACTGTTTCAGTGGCATGTAGCAGGAATCTGCCAATGATCTCACAGTGATGTCTGAATAAAGACAGCTACAGTGCTTTGGCTTTGTGCACGTCTGAATGTCTTATGTGTTTTTGTTTGCCTGAAAAACTTTTAATTCTTACAAGAAAACAAAAGATCAACACTCCGCTCTCTGGTGTCACTGTAGTGTGAAAATTAGATAACCTGTGCTTGCACTGCACTCCAGCCCTACAATGATAGTTAAATGTTTGTGCCACTTTGAATTGTTGTTGATAAGAGGATTTTTTTAAAAAAGATTAGTTCACCCCTGAGAACAGCCAAATGAGAAATAAAAGCTTGACTTAAAAGCTGCCCTGTTTTCCGTTGTCATAATTGAGTTTAGTAATTAGATATGACCTCAGTGTGATCGGAGTAACGGCCACTATTTGGGCGTCTCTTCCCTACTTGTTCCTTTGTGTCTTGTCCCTCCTCTGAAAACATAATGAAAGGCTGGATAGATGAGGATTCTGTATATTTGGACTGTTCTGTCCTCGAGGAAAGTCAGTGCCAAATTCCCCGGTTCCCTCCGAGGATTGCGAAAGGCTGTAACTCAACACACAGCCTGACAGAGGGCAGACAGTGATGATCATGCAGACCTTGGCCGCAGATTGAGAGAGCGTGCCTTGGCCTGATCTTTTTGTTTTTTTTTACTCATTGTTCATTTTCAGGGCTTGTGTAGTGTTTGAGCTGCAGGAGCTGTTTTCAGGAATTTTGCAAGACACTGGTGTGTGGGCCGTGCAGCACCTTATTAGTCTAGAATTAGATGTTAAAAAAAAAAAATGCTGACAAAAATTGGTCTTGGAAAGATTGCGCAGCATGATCCAGTGATTTAAAGTCGAAGCACTCTGGCAGGATAATAATGTAGCTTTGTATCTCAGGCAAAGATGAATTATACAGCAATTATTCTTGACTCCTGCCTTCAAAATGACCAGGCTGCTAGAGGTTAGCAGTTGAAACAGCAACAGTACATAAAGGTAATGAGTAGTGTTTTAAAAGCCCCTTCGCTCAAACCCCCCACTCCTCTATTGCAGGGTCTCTATAGGGGACAAGGATAATAGGACCTCCAGTCACGCTGCTGGCTATTGGTAAGGGTCTGAATTCCTTTGCGCTGCTAATTGCACTCAGGAATGACTCAGGAAGTGGACACATTTGGTCAAACTGAAGGCAGATAGAGTGGGACTTATTGTCTGCTTCTTCATATAGGAACCCACTCTTCACACACACCTCCAGCTATCAGCTCTCATGCTGTAACATTAGTTTTGGGCTGAGGCCAGAGACCTGCATTGGGTACGGTCCTGTATTCCATAACTAACACATGACATTTCCTCCCTCTGCCCTTGGCTGCTGTTAGTCTCTTCTCAGTTTAGCCCTGAGAGGCAGCTGAGCCGGGCTGTGTAGGTATCTTTGTCTGGGGTTTGCATGGGCCTTTAAAAAGCCGTGGCACTGGCTGTTCTGCTCCACTGCAAAAGCACTGTGACGCCGTTGCATCATGAAACACTGACCACTAATCCTCGACTGCAGTCAGCCACCGAGAGAGAGGGAAAAAAAGGAGAAAAATACCCCTCTTTTGAAAATGCAAAAAATCACTTTGACTCATACTTTTGGGTCTGATTATGCAGCGTGAGTGTGATGCATCAGCAAACTTTCCCTGTGCTGTACAGATGAGCCTTCTTCAGAGTTTCATGTCTGGAGGCTTACTGAGTGTTAAAATTTGCGTAGGGGATTTAAGACGCTTGTGTGGCAGAACACAAGAAACTTTCCTCTTAATTTCAAATCAAAAGAGAGCCATGCCAAGACTCTGTTATGTGTTTGAGTTTACAACAGCACTGTGAATCGTCTGGGATTCACTTTTATGTGTCATTATTGATAGGCATCACACTGCAGACATCATTTTGTTTTAAAGGCTGCAGGCAAAACTACCTCTGTGGTGTTGTGATTTGTGTGATCTGATGCCATGCAGACAAACATGAGGTTGATCTTTGTGTATGTACTCAAAGTGTATTGTGTGTGCGTGACTGTGTGTGGCGAGGTCTAGCCTGAGCTGCATGTCTCAACAAGCCATAGTGAGGAATGGGGGCTTTCCTTATGATATGTCTGTCTGAGCAGAGTTGCATTAGAGTGTGTTTTATAGGAGCCAGACTAATAGACTTGAAATATGATTGTTTTAGAATTGACTTATTTTTTTAGGGTCTGTTTCAGTTCAAAATCATGTTTGTCCAGAAGGGAGCCCAATTGGAGCCTGTACACTGGTCCTGAGTGTCTGGCCAAGTTGAAACTAGACTCTATTTTGGCTCTGAGTGTGATTTACTCAGTCATTCCTAATGGGTGCTTCAGTTCCTGTGGCCGTTCTCTCGGCACAGGGTGTAGTTTGGATTGCATCTTTTGAATTCCTGCAAAGTTATTGACTGCCAGTGAGCAATGGACAAAAATCACTGCATACCCTCATGTCTCTTCTTTGCAGGGGAAAGTAATCTCTAATGTCTTGATACTGAGTTACCAGAGATTACTGCTACATCAGGTCCTCTGTGTTTCAATCGCTTAATCCAAGTAATTTATACTATTTTCTGGCTATTTTATAAAGTACTGTGTCTTTGTCTCATAAAACCCAGGATCAGCAGCCTGCCATATGCTCTGCCTTGTTCTTAGACAGCCTTTCTGAAGGCTTTGGCACCTTTCATATTTCAGTCTCTAATGGGAGAGACTTAGAGAGAGAGAGAGAGAGAGAGAGAGAGAAAGAGAGAGAGAGCAGGGAGAGAGAGAGGGAATTTGCCTGAGAGAGATTTTTATTTTTTTTTTTACCAGGGCTGTCTTGTTCTTTTCCTCTCCAGTAAAAACAACAGGCTGCTGCCAAGTGCAGTGTAAATGGGAGTTTACATACTCGGGGTGTGGGGGTGAGAGAAAGAGAGGGACAGGCTTTCAGGATTTAAATAATAAAATGCCTCATTGGACACTAGCCCCACACAACAACTTGTCCTTGGAGAGACTCGAACCTGCAGACTGAACGCGTAAAGAAACAGGTTCAAGGTGGTAGAGATTGGCTTGAGACTAGCAGTGTTAGTCCTCAAATGTTACCGAGTTCATTGGAAATTATTTGAGGTTTGAGTTATACAAGTGCTTCAGGTTTGTTTTGACTGTCGCACTCATGTTGCAGCTATTTGAACTGACTTTTAAAATGACCAGCTCGACAAACAAGGTAAGCAAAGCTGGATGTAAAGTACAAGATGCCATTTTTATCCCACTTTTACAACACTTGAGAATTGATTTGTTCTTGTTAAAAGTGAGCTGATTTGGGTCCTGCTGTGCTCGACAGTAACTCTAATCCAACTGTAAAAACAGCCAGGGACCAGCCCATATGCAGGGTGGAGTGCATTAGAATAGGGTTACATAACCTTGTTTTTTTCATTACCTTCTTTATAGCTTTTGTAATCGAGCGTGTCTTTCAGCCTTTTTAGCAAAGAAAGAAAAACTTGGTTTGACTTACAATACACACGGCCTGTCAGCTTGTCACCAACCAGCAGTGTCAGCTGTTTCCGCTGTACCTCACAATACGTCTTTGTTGGATTCATAAGAGAGAGGCTTTGTGCCCAACCTGCAGAGGTTTGAGAGGCAAAAGTGGATTAAACTGTTAGTGTAGATTCCACACTGATATGATCAATCCTTTAAAAATTCCTCATAGCTTTGGGTTTTGTGGGTAATCCAAAGTTTTAGAGGTATCAGCTGTTGAGATGCATCAGTCATGCAAGAATTTTGACAAAACTCTTCAACAACCTGTATGTCTGTTTTCATTCAGGGCAACATTCACAGAAATCTGAGCTGATCCGCTGCCTATTCTGCACATCTTCAACCCTTATTTAGTTGTTTTCAATTGCATGTAATGAATAGAAAGAGGAACCGTGAGCTGTAAATGCACTCCTCCTTTGCAGAGATGGGCAGGGTACAGTCGACTCAAGTTTCACTGTTCCAATCTGTAACATTTGTTTTTTATTTGGCCATCAGAAGTTTTCCAGTTCTTGGTCTTACAGTAATTATAGAGCGATCTAATTCTGCAGCCACTTCCTTTGAGCCTGCACAAGTTCTCCTTTTCCTCCTCTCTGTCCCTCATTCCTCCCTGATTACATTAAAAAGTGCTGTGGTAAACCCCTCCAAACGGTCCCAAATTGTTGAGAGAGGGTGGCGATGGAATGCACGAGTGTTGACATGAATGCTTTTGATATCCCCTGAACCGTCTTCTACGAAAACGACCAAAGGAACATTTGGGATGAGAAAAAGTCTGTAATTGATCAGAAGCATAAGTGCAGCAGATAGACGTCTGTTTATGTAATCGTGCAGAGAAGATTCATGGCTTCCCCTTTGCATGTGAAACTCTAGAGATGAGTGTGTAGCTGCTGACAGTGTGAAGTTTGTTTTTTCACCAGCTGCTGACTAAAAAGATAACACAGCTGTGAAAGCTGTCAACGCTCGAACGCATTCTTGGAAACTGCAAGACATATCTAGAGGGATGATGTTTGATGACAAAACAGACGACAGACAATATACCTCTGTAAGGACAGAATGCAATATAAAATTATGATCAAGATAAATGATGCTGCATGGTTATAGTAGTGAAAAGTCAAGACTGAGAAAATACAGGAATAATGTCAGTCTGTTGTATCAGTTATATATTAGGTTTGTAAACAGGCTTATCTTTACTGAGATTTTGCTGATTGTACTCTGGTGCGGCTGATGTTTTAAGCTCATTATTTAAATCAGAAATATTACATATTATATTCACTTTGCTTTCTGCTTTGTAAATAAGAGAAGTAGCACTGAGTTTTCATTGTCAGTGATCTTGTATTTGACTAACAGTCCTGTCTCCCTCTCCTCTGTCTCCCTGTAGGGGTGGTGGCGGCCGGGTCGGACATGATGCCGGGACAGATCCCTGACCCTCCGCTGGCGGCTGGCTCCCTGCCCAGCCTGGGCCCGCTGGCAGGCATCTCGGCCACCACGCTCACCGATCAACTCAAACTAGCCGACTTCCGCCAGCTTGGCGCCATGCTGTCCCCGCTGCACTTCCTCGGGAGGCTGGGGAAGAGGCCGCTGGCCATCAAGACAGAGGTGAGGAGGTAGAAGGTTGTAGACAAAAGAGAAAATGGTTCAGTTGGAGTGTGTGTGAAAGATGAGCATTCAGTCAGCAGGTAAAGGTATCTTCACGCCTTCTGTCAGAGCAGGTTTTACCTCTTTTGTTAAGAATCAATCTTAAGTTGTCATTTGACCCTGAAAACCGAAAAGTTGTAGTTTCACATTTAAGCTGTTAGGATTTGTGTTCATAATCTTTAGTGTTGGAAACTTTAAAAAAAATATATATGTCAATCATGCTTGCAGTGGTTTTTACAGTTAATTTGAAATGAAACTCGTCCTTTTTATCATTGTTTTAAGAAATACAATATTTCTGTGTAAATCAGCTAGGCCTTAAGGCTTTTTCATACTGTACTGGGACTTTTTTGCCCCCTCTAGTGCTCACAATAAAAATTACAGGTTACACAACATTATTTTTCCATGTAGACAATCACGACTATTGGTTGTAGGTTTATATACTTATATGTAACTTAGAAGGAGTGACCATCTGTTTTCCAGTCATAATGTACATTCCTACAATGCCTGTTTCTCATATTGACAAAACATTGTGTTGGCAGATGGATGAAGATGAGGAACGGAGGAAACGGAGACGAGAGAAAAACAAGGTAGCAGCCGCCCGATGCCGAAACAAAAAGAAGGAACGGACAGACTTCCTTCAAAGGGTGAGTTCATGACACTGCATTAGCAGAGCTGCTCAGGCCAAAAATAACTGGACTTAAGTTAACCTGAGCAGCTGTGTAAGGCTGATTTTAGTGAGCCAGCCTCGACTTGATCAAACATGATCACACTAGATCAAGCCTGGTTTAATCAACCAGAATAGCTTACCTTCATCTGAGCATCATCAAGTCAGGCCATTTTTTTAAGTGTTATCAAATATTTTTAATTCCAAATTTTCACAAGTGTCCAATACTTCAACATCTGTGTGCAGGAATCAGAGCGACTGGAGATGGTGAACTCCGAGCTGAAGGCCCAGATTGAGGAGCTTCGTGTTGAGAGGCAGCAGCTGATGGTAATGCTTAACCTCCACCGGCCCACCTGTATTGTGAGGACAGACAGCGTCAAAACCCCTGAGAGTGAAGCCAACCCCTTGCTGGAGCAGCTGTCCGCTGAGAAGAAGTAAAAATGAGAGAGACCGGGGCTTGAAATCCCTGACTACCAAACTTGCACCACTGTGGCAGCCATTTTTATGAAACCATAACTGGCAAAACATTTCTGAACAAGCACTTGAGCTCCAAGCTGAGGACTTTTGGAGACTCTGCCCAAAGACCTGAGGTTTAAGGGCTTCTTTAGTACTGCTACATGAGCTGGCTCTGGCCACCGGAAGACTGGAAACGCCCAGTTTCATCTCTGCATTAAGTGTTGTTGTTGACACCCACTGTGCCTAGCTGTTACTTCAACCATCTCCACACAAAGGGACCAATGGAAACAGTAGAATAAGAATGGAAACAACAGTGAGGAGACACACTAATATTAATATGGTGCTCTGATACAAAAGCCCTGAGCAGATTGTGAGGTTTTGTGTGAATTCAGAGGCTCACAAAGGCTTCATGCTCTGCAGTTTTCTTTTGTATGCTAGCCTAAATATACAGGAGTAGAACTTTTAGTATACAATACTTATAAGTACACAAGACGAAGTACATTTTGGGGGGGGTTTGTCATATTGATTTGTATTCTCTGCCTCAAATGTGGCAGAATCCGGTTGATCCGATTTGTGGTGACGCTGGCGTCATGATAAGCACATATACACAAAATGTTTACACCATTGTTATATTGGACTTGTTGTTTGTCCCTTTGTTGTTTTATACTGTTTTGTATACATAAACATATATGACATGCTTTTTAGTCACCGAATGTGGTTTGTCTTTTCAGTCTTTCTAGTCTGTGTCTGTCATGTGCTGTCGAACAGCTGTGAAAAAAAAGGAAATCTTTTCAGCTTAGAAGTATTTTAATGTCTATTCTGGACTGTCTCTGCTATGTAGGTCTCTGGTACTCTGAATAGATCAAATTTTATTTTGCAATAACAACAACACAGAATAGACTCTGTACTATAAATCAACTTTTCGTAGTGAAATGAAAGTCGTGGTTGTTCCTCTTTAGATATGATACTTGAACTATCAAGAGACAAAAATTGTGCAATCTTGTTTTCTTAAGTTGAGGCTGCTTAGGATTTAACTTTCATTTTCAACAATTTGAAAGGTCATTTATGCTTGTTTCCGGAAACTCCCTCTGTTTAGGAGTCAGCAGGAGGAACACTTTTTGTCCAAAAACTGAATAGAAAGCCACAGGCAGTTGTTAAACAAACCCAACCATAGGTTTGTCATTCATTAACTAAATATTAAGATTCATTATATCAGCAACTTAACAAATATATTTAAGTATTTTCCTAGTATGGCAATGTATCTATACTGGAATGCATATTTATCAATTTACTGATCCTCCTTACATGAATTTGCTTTTACTGAAGAACTTCAAAAACACAGATTTTGTCCTATGTTAATGATATAATAAGAATTGTTGAGTAAGTATAAGAACATTAACACTTTATAAACAGCAGACTATCACCTAAATCACACAGATATGATTCTATTTTGGACTGCAGAAAAAGTAAAAAAAAAAAAAGTTGATTTTATAACTCCTTTACATTCATTCTGCATGCTTTCAGGGACGGGGACACCTCCCCCTGTGTCAAACATAATGACAGCTTTTTTCTAATCCAATCAATGCCAGTTACCCTAAAATATGTAAAATTATGTATAAATCAGCCCTTTTATAAGACAACTGCAAAAATGAACCATAACAAAAAAATCTAACAGAGCATTCTAGAGTTCTTGAAAAATATTACCTGACTACTTGATCTACAGTTAAGAACAGGCCAGATAAACTTTGCTGCAGATGTAGTTCACGAGGGGCAGCAAACTTTATACAGTACAGAGAGTGGTGTCATGTTACCACCTAGCGGCTTATTTTGTGAACTGCAAGACTAGCAGCCGACCAAAAGACCCTGTTTGACTTTCAGAGTTGTAAATCAAAATAGATTTATGTCTGGTAGGTTGTTTGAAACTACAGAAGCCCTAAGCAGACGTGGTTTATTTATTTTTTTACCCCTGTTTTCTTAAGATCACAAGATAGTATTCTTGTGATCTCAAGAAAACAAGGCTTTGTTTTCAAGGCTTTGTTTTCTCACCAATTAATTTTGCGGTGGACTGGAGACATTGGGCTGATCACTGTACGTGTACTGTACGTGTTCGCGGTGTCTGCCTTCTGCTTACAGCAGCCAGTGTTAAGGATCACTTAGGGACTACTGGATTGATGCTGTTTGGCCCACAGCTCTGGCAGACGGACACATCTGGGTGATCCCAAGTACCTGTGAGTAAGGTGAGTACCTTAATCATTCTCTCTCTCCTTCCCCTTATCTTGTTCTCTCTCTCTCCCCCTGCCCTCTCCCCTCTTCTCTCTCTCTCCCTCCATCTCTCTACATTCCTCCCCAACCCAGCAGCGGCATGGTGGCTGTCTGGCATGAGGCTGGTCCTGCCCAAGGTTTCTGCCTGTTAAAAGGAAGTTTTTCCTTGCCACTGCTACTCATGTTAGTTGAAATGGGCCAAAACCCATCTTAGGCTGGTTCTTGATCATCAAACAATGAGCGTGGTCTAGACCTGCTCTTGTTCTTTGAAAAGCGTCTTGAGATGACGACCGTTGTGAACTGGCGCTATATAAATAAAATTTGATTGATTGATTGACTGTGACAGCTGAGACTCAGAAGCTTGAAGCTGGGACCTAGTCTCCTGCCAAGGTAAAGCCCTCCATAACAACCATACACATCCTGCAATATTTTAATATTGTTCACTCTCTCTCTCTCTCTCACACACACACACACACACAGTTCCTTACATACAAAAACTCACATGCACATACTCCCTCTCGTACACAAACACACTCACACACTGTCTCTCTCTGTCAGGCACACACACTCTCTCACTTACTCTCTCACACACACTCACTCATATTATCCCTCTCTTTCTTTCTCTCTCTCTCTTATTGTTTTTAACAGAAGGAGACAGACAGTAGTACTGTTGTATCCAAATGTAGGAGCTTACGGTACAAACCACCAGTGTCCTGTGTCTGTTGTGACAGACTGCAGCAGCTGCCATGTCATTTTCATTGAGATTTAACTGAACATCAAAAGTAAAATGTTACACATGTCCCATATATGACATTAAAGAGAAAAGAGACATAGCGCTCACTTCTCCATGTCGACAATGGGATCTCTGCCACATTGCCATCAACACAGATGAATCAATAATTTTCACGCCTGTCCCCCTTCCTAGGAAGGTCAGGTAGGCGTGGACAACCTGAGCAAAAAGTAGAGTTGTGAGCATTTCTCCAGAGACCTAGAGAGATCTCCTGCAAATGCTGAAACAAGGACCTACCTAGTTATCCAATTCCTGGTCTGGAGCCAGGCTCTGAAAGGGAAATTCCGACGTAAAATTAATTTAGGGTCAAACACACCGTAACACTGAGTTAGACACCCCCTCAAGGGATAAATGTTGCCGACCGGTGGCTTCTCTAGTTATACCAACTTTAGTAACAACCGCACGATAGCAATACACAGCCGTCTGAGTAGCCGCGCACAAACCTCAATCAAAACACCACTCTATAGCCACAAAGAATGCTCAGAACGGCACCTAACTTCATCAACAGTACATATAGGGTCCTAGCCACAGCACTAGCCACCAAACATCTTTTTAACGCTGCCTGGTTTCTTTAACAAAGAGACAAAACACAACTCACCCACTCTCTTCCAGCAGCTGCTTGTTTGTAGCGAGACCTTGGGCCAGTCCATTACGGACTGCTGCGGGCTGAAGAAAGAACATTTATGTGATTTTTTGCCAGCAGTCCCTCTGGCTTCTTGCGGCTGTGGCAGTATTGCTCCTTGCTCTTATTATCTTGCGGTACCCCTCGTACTTGCGTAAGATTATGCCCTATTATGCTATGTCCCTCGGCCGTGAAATATGACGCTCCGTAAGGCTTCTCCATTGTGGAAATTGGTCTTGGGGCACTGACCTTGCCCCCTTTACTTGTGCGTGCACAGATCTAGATTGGCCACAACTGGATTCAATTATCGAGTTGATAACCTGCTTGGTAGTACAGCTGATTGGGATTACAGAGATCTGGTAAAGTTGAATGAGTTGTTGCAGAGTTATCCTGGGTGTTTTAATCCATCTTTGTAGTACAGGCCTCAGATGTAGGATGACCATATTCTGAATCCCTAAAAAGAGGACACTACTACAGTTGTGCGTGCGATTTTGAGGGTTTTTCTGGGTTGGGTCGAGTGTTTTTTAAGACACTTCTAACTCAGTTAAACACATATTCTGAATTACTAAAAAAGACACTTAACCAGGCCTCTTGAAAATACTGAAAAATACTCTCAAAAAGTTGCGTTGATAAACAATATATTCATTTATCTGAAGCATTTCTCCTCAACAAAAATTATCAGTCACATACAAGTATTTTTCCCCTTTCTTTCGCTCACCCAGACCCAGCCTGCGTGCTTTCAGTGGCTTTGCTTAGAACTGAGCGGAGGGGCAGAGCAGCAGAGAGCAATGATGCCCTGCACTGTTTTATGATGAATCAATACACGTTCCGGTGTTCAGCATGTGTTTCCAAATGAATCATTGAACGTGTATGGTAAATACAATCGTCTGCGATGCGAAGATAAAGTACACGCTCAAATCTATAGAAGTCTGTTTCCAGCAGTGTAAGGAAAAAAACAGGCTTCTATACAAAACCCCGGACATTTGGAGTTTTAAAAAGTTCTCCTGGACAGGCCGGACAGCCCCCCAGAATAGCAAATGTCCAGGTAAAAGAGATGACCATACTCAGACGTCCTTGAGGGCTGCCTTTTAGTGCAACAGTTTTATTGGCATACTCATTTTGACTGTGTTGTCCCCTGTTGAAGAAACTTTGCCCTCCATGAGGTTTCTTTTAGCTGCATTCCTGTTAGCCTGTAAACAGCCTCCTGAGCACTGACATCCCAGTTGTGGAGGTAAACACTGCCCAACTTTTTCATTGCTTCTTTAGCTTGTAAATCACCTTAATTGGCAGCTTCGTGTTTTGCATTAGCTTACATTAATCCCATTTGTCTTTCTATTTTGGAAATATAAGAACTAATCTAAACAATGCAAGCATAAGTGTCAGCCACAAACTGGATATTCATATTTGCATCCAAACATGGCAGCAGTGACTTATTTATCCAGGGCTGGTTGAGCTGCCGTTTCATGATCACATCTGTTTTTTTACCCAGAAGTTTATAAGCATGCTCGAAGGCCTCCAGGCTGGTTTCTAAAGATACTAAGAACTTTTCAACACTGGTAAACTCAGTGCCATCTTAAGACAAGTGATTTTAGTGTGCAGGTTTCTTGCCTGTTCTCTCTTTCCTTAATTGATTGCCCACTCCTCTTTGCCACAAGTGCAGTTCTCAACTACATCCTCACTGTCAGGTTGAAAAACACAAGAGTGTGTTCTACTTTATGAGCACAAGAAATAAGTTTTAGAAGATACCGACTTTGGAAAATTGAAGCAGCACACTGTAACTTTTTCTACAGGTTTTGTAATGTTTCTTTTAATGCTGTTGTACAGCTAAAACAGTATCCAACAAAGCATCATCAGATGAAAGACCACATGAGATGTATCGATCTATGAACTGGACATCTTCATCTGCGTTAGTCACGATATGAAAACAACAAAAGGGAGGGACCCAAGTGCAGAACAAAAAAGGTTCTATTAAAGCAAAATCAAGAGGAAACACTCCAACAAAAACAGTCAGAAAATGTTCAACTGAAAAATCCAAATAG